CGCCTCGGTGCACTGCGGACACCGCGGCTGCCGCCGCCGCAGCTGCCGCCGCCGCCGCCGCCGCTGCCGGGGACAGGTTGGAGCTGCTCTGCGGCTCTGCGCTGGGGGACACCAGCCCCGGGGGCGTGGATGACTCGTAGCCAGAGCTGGCAGCCGGCGAGGACTCGGAGCCCTGAGGGGAGGACTCATGGACCTGCAAGACAAAAGCCGGGAGCGGGGACCAGAGGGGACTGGGTGTGAGTGCAGCTGCTGTGAGGCCGGGTCCCTGAGCCGGGGGCATCCCAGGAGTGTCCCTCGGCCCCTGGGTACCCTCCCAGGCCCGCCGGGAGCTGGTGCTCCAGGTCGGCCTAGCCCTCCCGGCTACCGCGGTGGTACCTTCATGTGCTTCCGCAGCGAGCTAGGGTGCGTGTAGGACTTGTCGCACATCTTGCAGAGATAGGGCTTATCTGAGGTGTGGACATGCATGTGCTTCTTCCTGTCGCTGCTGTTGGCGAAGCGCCGGTCACAGCCCTCGAACTCACACTGGAAAGGTTTCTCCCCTGTGGACAGCAAACAGGGCGCTTGCTTACGGACACCCAGGACCCCAAAGTCCTCACCAAGGCTGCCAGGGTACAGAGTAAAGGGCAGAGGGGACGAGAGAGGGCTGAGTCTCTGAAACAGGCTGGATCCCCCTACGTAGAATCAACTAACAGATTCCACCATTTATTTCGTAATTTACTTCCCTTCACAAATTTCCAACTAATTTCGGGGCGCTCCTGGCCCTGTTCGCCTTTCCACAGAGCTTTTTGGATCCCCAACCCCCTAACAAGTTGGTCTAGCCATCGAGAAGCTGTTATTTTGACAAAATATTTGGGGCATTATCAAAACCACACAGGCGGCTGGGCTGCTGTCGCTTTCTCCTCGGGGCCAGTAGGCAATCACATTTGGAGATGCTGTGAGCCGTTTGGAGACTGGGCTATAGAGAGACTGAGCCAGTATTTTTCATCCAAAATTCTGCAAATTGAGTTAACCGTTAATTCTAGTATAAATGCCTCTCTCTCTCTCTCTCTCTCTCTCTCTCTCTCTCTCTCTCTC